TCATCAGATGAGTTTCCATAGCCAGATGATACCATCTCTCTATTACGTTTTGATCGTTTCCCATCGAACAGATGCCCCCATAGATTTTTCTTAGCCGCCTCCGAACATTGCCAAGATGGACTTTTATGAGAAACTTTTTAATTCAAACCAAAAATACTTTCGAAGTGGTTTTTATTCCTTTTCGAGGGGTGCTGGGGATTAGAAAATTTAATTTTCTCCAATTTGGCGGACGAAATAGGTATGAAAATCAGTCCGCTCATATCGATGACACGATGGACCAACCTAAACCAACGCCAATTGTTTTGCAAGTTCACTTTTTTTCTACCACTAAGGTCGCAAGCCCAGGCAATGCTTGGCATGAACAAGCGAGATGGTTACCGCAGTCAAGCAATGCTGCCGCACAGCAACCAAAATATAAAGAATCAAAGTCTACTCCCAACTAGGATGTGTAAAAGCTCAAAGACCCATAGACCAAAAAATTACTATCCGGATCATCAACCGCCTATCAACCGCCTATCAACAACAGAAATTGAAAGCATAATACAACCAGTAGTATCCCAAGTGAGCAACCAATAAACTATCAACGCCAACAAAAACACAAATAACATAATAACAACACACTGGAACTTAACTGAAACTCCCATTCCAACACCAACCAAGAAATGGAAACAACAACTAACAAGATAACAGAATACATACTCAAATGGGAAAACACTTACCACTCACTCTCCACCAGATCCTTCCAATGGAGTGGAGGTCTTCCACTTCCTCTGTTTCCACCGGCGGGTACTGCATTGAATACATTCAAGGCTGGGGTGTTTTCATCCATTCGGACGACATGACCTAGCCAATCTAGCTGCTGTCTCTTCATTCGTTAAACTATATCAATGCGAGCGTAGAGCTCATCGTTCCATCGTCTGCGGTATTCGCCGTTGCCAATGTGGAAAGGACCATAAATCGTTCGCAAAACTTTTCTCTCTGAGACTATCAAAGCCAACTCATCAGCTGTTGACATCGTCTACGCCTCTGCGCCATATAGTAGGACGGTTATGATGAGCGACTTGTAGAGTTTAGTTTTCGTTCGCCGGGAGAGGACTTTACTTTCAATTGCCTATTCAGTCCAAGGTACAATCTGTTGGTAAGAGTGATTCTCCGCTTGATTTCAAGGCTGACATTGTTGTGTTGATGGGTGTTGATGCTGGTTCCTAGATAAACGAAATTATCTAAGACCTCGAAGTTATGGCTGTCAACAGTAACGTGGAAGCCGCGTCACGAATGTTTGATGACAGGAGATATTTTGTCTTGCCCCATTCGCTTCGCTTCTTTATTAAGCCAGGAGAAAGCAGAACTAACGGCGCGGTTGTTGAGGCCGATAATGTCAATATCATCGGCATGTGCCAGTTTTGTACCCTCCTTTAGAATATTGTACCTTCTCTATTCAGCTCTGCCGTTCTTATTATTCTCTCAAACATCAAATTGAAGAAATCGCACGACAAAGAGTCACCTTGTCTGAAACCTCGTTTGGCCCGGAGAGTTCCTTTCCAGTTCTGACTGCACTTCTGGTGTCAGTTTACACAGTCAAATAAGTTTTGCGGGGACACCAAATTCAGACATAGCGGCGTAAAGGTAACTCCTATTCGGCGAAGAGGTGGTGGTGAGTATCTGGTCAATGGTTGGCTTACCAGGTCTGAAGCCACACTGATAAGGTCCAATCAGTTTTTTGGGGTGGGCTTTAGTTTTTCACACAAAACGCTCGATAGGTTCTTATATGCCATATTAACGAGACTTAATCCTTTTTGTGGATTGGGCATGCTTTCACCGGACCATATTTTGCAAACAAGCTGATGCATGCACCTTATCAGCTCTTCACAGCCATGTTTGAATAGCTCTGCCTGTAGGCCGTCAGCCGCCGCCGATTTGTTGTTTTTTAAGCGGGCAATCTCTATTCGAACTTCGACATGTTCAGATAGCGGTAGGTAGGGAGTACCAGATGGCGTTTCACAGTTCCCTTATATCAAGGTGCTGCTGAGTGCTCTCAGTTTCCTGGTTTTTGTTGACGGGCGTTCTGCGATATACACAGGCGCATGCGCATCTTCGCTGCAACAAGATAATGGTCCGAGTCCATGTTGGGTCCTCGGATTGTGCGCACGTCAAGAACACTGGAGACATGTCTTCCGTCTATCATATCAAGATCGATCTGGTTGAAAATTTTTCGATAAAGGGACAGCCAAATAGCTTGCTGTATTTTCTTTTGCTGAAATCTAGTACCGCAGAAAACCATTTCCCGGTGAATTTGACTAGCCTCAACCCACTTAGGGATGTTTCATCGTTGGGGCTGAAATATCCGTGAAGACGCTAAGCACAATTTTGATATCGCATCGGAGGCAGCATTCATATTTGTTTTCAAGGCGCTCATAAAAGCCATCCTAGGTCACATCGTTCTTCTCTTCCGTCGTGGCGTGGGCGCAAATAAGCGTTTTGATACAGAATTTCGCTTTGATGCGGATTGTGGCGATGCGTTCATCCACCGGAGTGAATGCCAGTACTCGACGACGGAGTCTTTCTCCCACCACGAATCTGACACCAAATTTGCGCTCCTTTATTTGGCCGCTGTAGAATAATTCACAAGGATCCACTTTCCGGGTGCATGCCCTCAAAACGTAGTCCTTAAAACATTTGCATATGGGTCTCTCATCCGAGGCTGATTGAAATTTTTCATTGAATTTGGTTTTTCATGTGATGGGTTCCAAGCCCTACGCACAACCGCCTTATCACTGTAGCTAGCCTCCAAACGGATGTTTGTTGACTACCCGGAGGATACGTGGTGTAGGACCGGAAGTCGTGAGCTTCTTGAACCATGAGCATAATAATCGTTTCTGGTCACTCCTAGGGGAATTTCAGTCAGAAACTTTCCTCACTTTCGTGAATATGACCCCATCCCCGCAATACAATATACATAGTTACCACTTTTCTGGAAATTAATTTTTAATTTGTTGAAGCTCCCCGCATACCAAGGCCAACGTTTTCGTTAAATCTGATGTTATCTAATATGAAAACTGGAAAACCAGAATAGACACACAAACCCCCTCGGACTGACTAACGATTTATTTAACTCAGATTAAAAGAGACAAATTCCGGTGTGACTCACACACCGCGATATAGTTTTGTATAGGCCTGAATCCCAACTCAAATCTATTGAAAATATAGTAAATGAAGATATGAATTCAACACAAAAAGTCAAAAACAAAATCTACACAAAATAAATCACATACCATCATAAGGGCCGCCGAAAACGCACGACAGATGTGGGGTGCTTATTTTAGTTAAATATTTGGACGACATAATTTGGTTTCGCACCGCGTTTACTCTAATTGATCCTAAGAGACGCCGTAGAGTGCTCACCGAAAACGCCATCTGCTGCTGCAACAGAGTATCGAAGAAGACCCGAATTAGTCCGTCCGGACTAATGTAGCCGATCTCTGGTTCCAAAAAAACGGCACTACATGCCGTATAGCCAACGAGCCACAAGCGAAGAAAACTTTTAGTGAGCGCATTAGCTCTCTTCGTGGCCCTCTGGTGGGGCCTCCAGTATAGTGACATAGGACCCCAATTCCTGCAAAAATGGGATAAATCTGGGCCTATCGGCTGTAATTTATACGAGCCAGCCATGGCGGTCACCTGCCCGAAATCCCTTTTAAAATAATGACAATTTGGTAGCCGAGTGGTTAGCATTACGTACTGCCATTCGAAAGGTCCGGGTTCTTATCCCGGTGCCACCAACATCCGAAAGCTATGGAAAATTAATTTAAATAAAAAATTAAATTAAATTTTCTAATTGCGGTCGCTCCTCGACAGGGAAGGTCAACCCCTCCGAGTGTATTCCTGACATGAAATAAAGGCACATCATAAAAAAACCATCAGCGGTTCAGAGGCGGCTTAGCGTAAACTGTAGGTCTCTCCATTTGTTGGAAAAACATCAAAGACGCAAAACCAAAAATCGGTCGAAAATCGCTTCAGCGCTTACATAGCGCCAATTATATATATAAAAAGACCTATAGAATTTGTATTTGGTATATGTACATAAATGCTTGAAATGTTTTTTTTTTTAGAGATTTTTTTTATTTCAATGGCAGCCGCAAACGAATACTGCTTTGAATATTTTAAGCATACTAAACCAATTGATTAGGCATTACACATTTCCGTCCGCGTTTTTCGAAACCCGGTTTGTATTTTATAGCGTTTCGGACCATCGTGGGGGAGCAACCAATGATGTTTTGCACTTCTCTGTAGGGTTTTCCTTCGAAAAAGAGCTTTTTAATAAGAGCCTGCATCTCCGGTGTATAATTATTTTTTCTTGACATCACTACATGCAGCAGGATCAAAATTTCCACATTATAAAACAGAATACTGATAAAAGAAATAGCTCTTACCGATTCTTTAATTTTTTAGTCACAAAAACAAAAAAAATTAATTTTTTTGAACTATTCTTGATTGCGCTACTAAGAATTTGGCTGATCAAAAACATATTTTTCCTCAAAACTTAGCCGATTGCAATAACAACAATAATTCTAACTTAACAAACCAATGTATATCGTCATATCGGCGCCTTAACCTAACGGTATTTACAGAGAAAGTGAAAAAAAAGTCTGAAATACAAATTTATGATGACTTATATTTAATTAGCAAAATCACTACTAAGATTTTGACCGCAACTGTATATAGATATAAATATTATTTTTCAAATATCAAACAAAACTACTATTTCCGCTTAGTGCGGAGGGATCAACTTTTTTTAAAATATCTATCGAACAATATTTAAATATTAATTATTTCTTCGATCCAGTATTCACCAATAAAAGCGATCTCCACCCGATCTTTTGAGCTCACTGATATTTTAATGGTTTTTAACGCCGCAATTAAAAATCTGCAAAAACTGTTTTAGATAAACAAATTGTAATTTTGCTAATAAAATCAACTCAATAACAAACAAAACCACAGGCAGGCAAAGGATACAAACCACTAGACTTCCGCAATAGAAACAACACAACTCAAAACCACACAAGAGAAGACATAAAAGCCGCTTGGAAAGAAAAGCTACAAATTCACGGAAAACAAACACAAATAATTTAAGTATTTTTAGATTTAATAAACACATGGTGAATTTCAACACACTCGAAGGATTCACGCCACATATTTAGGATCAGGTAATACCAAGCTGGAACTCTCTGTTACTGGAATGCTACACAAAATTTTATAAAGAAATTTTATGAAATTACTAAATCTATAGGAAAAGGAAAAAGGAGTAGCACTTTAAACATCGTAAACTCCTTTTAAAACAACTAACTTTAAACACGGCAATAACAGAAAAAAATAAATAATAAATAAAAACTACAGAGCATTTCGCCGTGATATCGATATCTCCGGGGCTAATGTTATCTTTGGTAAGTGCTGAACCTACCGAGCTGTAGAAACTCTATAGTATTAATTATAATAATAAATAATATTAATAGTTATCTTAAAACTTGAATAATCGTGGGTAAGATATTGGATGCTTAGTTTCCTTTAAATATATTTTAATAGTATATCTTACTCCAAGCTAATTATTACTCTCATTTCGTGATGCATGTTTTAAATAATTTTTTATTAGTTACTTAAATGGTCTGTTCTATCACTTTGTTTGCATTTATTATGTTTATTAAAATATTAAAGTGTTGATGTAGCCACAATGCATGGATGATAAAAATGTGTAGACGCAAAATTTTGTTAATTTTTGTAGCGAACATGTTTTTTGCATTTAGTACACAAAATGAAAGTATGTTGAGAGTATATAGTTCAACAGAAAGCCTGGAGAACACGACGAATATTATTCCAAATAGACGTGGAAAGTTTTTATTCGATGCTATATTTAGAATTAGCTCAGGTATAACAAACGCTTTCGGATATGAAGCAGATGAATATTCTGACTATAATGATGATATAAATATAAAAACATGCGACTGCGGTGAGTATATTAATGATGTCAAGAATTTGTTTTGATTAGAAACTTCGGAGGCTCAATCCCAGATTTATTATTAATCCTATCATAACATAAAAACAATTAGTATTAGAGGGATGTATTTTATTTTTAAGCTTTAAAATATACAATAATGATATTTTATTTTTCTTACATTTCATAAATACCATACTTAAGCAATGATTTTTATGAGAATTGTAAGCTAAGTTAGCCAATTGTTATGACTTTCAACTCTGTTATTAAAAAGCTCTTAATATTATATTGTATTTAACAATTGCGCTCAGTACATCATATTCTATGCTCACTAATTTTTGTTAAAAGGTAAACATGGGAGCGTTGAATTGTTATCTTCTCCTTCTAATTATAATAACAAAGGCAGCTCTTTCTCACCGACACAAGTGGCGCACTCCGCATGACGTACGGAAACTGCCGAGTCACGTTAACTGTCGAGATTGGAGAGTATCCAGTTACAGAAAACAACTGGAATAGCTGAAATATAAGATTACTTTATATTACCAAAGATGTGTAGAGAACTACTAGAGAGAAGTTAGTAATTTTTTTTTTCAATGCGGAAAGTGAGTTCGTCAAAACATATATTTTCTCTAATAACAAAAACAAATCATGAAATAAACAGCGATGGGTCCAAAATTATATAAAAATTATTTTAAAAATTATTTTTTTTTATTTCCATTAGATTTCAAGCAATATAATCTATCTAGTTCATTTTATTGTTTACATGAAATGGTTTTCCATTTTTTTAAAATAATTTCTTTATTTTGAAAAGTTGAAAATTAATTTTTTAATAAAATGAAATTCTTCTCATCTTTATTGGCGTTTACATCAATATTAGCGCGCCATTCCTCTCTTCTTTTCGCTGTCTGGCGCCAGTTGGAAACAACGAGTGAAGCCAGTTCACTCTCCATATGATCCTTTACCACATGCCAGTGTAACCCTTCAACGTCGAACATTCCTTGTGTTTGTTATCGGGCATTCTTCAACACACAGAGGATGGTGCGTATCTTCGCTGCGACAAGATAGTGATCCGAGCCGATATTAGGGCCTCAAACCGTACGCAAATCTAAAACACTGTGTACCACAACATGATCGATCTGATTGAAAACTTTCAATCTGGAGTTAAGAAAATGTAACTAAAAAAGTTTCAAAACTCGACATTTTAACTTTCACAAAAGCTTCGATTAGAATAAGATTTGAATATGCAATGAAACCAATTTGGATGCAATTGTAAATTTTTTTATCGTGCAGTAATCTTCTTCTTTCATACCATCTCAAGAGCTCGAAAGGCCTAACTGCTGTAATTAAGTGAATAGTCAGAAGGACGAAAAGACCCGTGAAAGGAGGACCGACACACATCACCTCTTCGCCGATTTTGAAGCAGCCTTCGACATAATGCCTCTACGCCGCTATGTCTGAGTTTGTTATCCACGCAAAACTTTTGCGGCTACGTAAATTGACTTTTAGTAACACTAAAATATCCGTCAGGCTCGTGAAGAACCTTTCCGAACCGTTTGATAGCAAACGAGGTTTCAAACAGGGTGATTCCTTGTCGTGTGAGTTTTTTAACTTATTGCTGGAGAAAATAATAATAATAATAATAATAATGATACGAGCTGCAGACCTGAATAAAGAAGGTACAATATTCAATAAGACTGTACCTCTGCTGGCATACGCCGATGATATTGACATTATCGGCCTCAACAACCGTTTCGTGAGTTCTACTTTCTCCAGACTTAATAAAGAAGCGAATCGAATGGGTCTGGTAGTGAACGAGGGCAAGGCGAAATATCTCCTATCATCAAACAAACAGTCATCGCATTCTTGACTCGGCTCCCACGGAACCAGCGTTGACACCAGCCATAATGTCAACTTTGAAATCCCACGCAGAATCACTCTTGCCAACAGGTGTTACTTTGGACTGAGTAGGCAACCGAAAAGTAAAAATCTCTCTCGACAAATGGAGAGTAAACTCTGTAAGTCGCTTATCGTTCCCGTCTTACTGTGACAGCATGGACGATGTCAACATCTGATGTGTCGGTTCTAGGAGTCTTCGAGAGGAAAGTTTTGTGAACGATTTATGCTTCTTTGCGCATTGGCAACGGCGAATGCCGCAGACGATGGAACGATGAGCTGTACGAGCTATATGATGATATTGGCATAGTTTAGCGAATGAAGAGACAGCGGCTTTGCTGGCTAGGTCATATCGTCCGAATGGATGAAAGCACTTCAGCTTTGAAAGTATTCGATGTAGGACCCACCGGTGGAAGCAGAGGAAGTGGAAGACCTCCTGCGAAAAGAAGAGGGGAATAGCGCTGGGATTCGGCTGTAATCGCAAAAGCGGTACCAGGGCCAATAAAGAAGAAGAAGAGAAACAACCAATGTTTAAGGTGGAACTATATTTCAATTCAAATCAACTGGAGAAATATTTTCTACAGCGCTGGGTAACTTTAAATAAATCGGTCATAACAAATGATGTTGCACACTGCACAGTATTTGTGTAGCAGCATGTGGGATCTACAATACAGAAAGAAAGAAGATGCCTTTTGGAAAAAATCGTAAGCGTACCCGAAATTTGTTTGTGGTTTGCGGGTGTGTCAACCAAAATAAATTAGAATTAACAAGATTTTTAACAGAGGGTGCAATGTTTGTTATACCCCTGTCTGCAACGTACCTGACGGACTAAAACAATTTTTAAGTTCTCGGGTTCATATTCTATTCCACAAACAACCCCGACGATAACCCGCACCACGGTACTTCGTTGTCATGTGCCACCTTCAAGCTACCTCTGAAAAGAGGTGAACCTCTCAGCTATTTATTGCTTCGAGATTTAAAATCACAGTAAATCCCTTTGAAAGTTTTTTATAGAATAGATTTATAGCCGGGGAAGACTACAATGCATATCATGTTTATTGATGGGTCGAGAATAATAAATCCTTTATAATACTACATTAAATAAACGTAACAATTTAGACTGTATTTCTCTTCTCTTCTCTTATCGGATATAGACACCCGACTAAATAGACTTAATTGTCTCTAGAAAAATCACCGGGATGTTGTGGATCCGGCCGTAATGGGCACACTTAAGCAATTGAATAGGCGCCTTGTGGTCGACTCATTTAATTTCCTCCAATCTGCTGAATGCTCCACACTCACAAAAGTAGTTTTCGAAAATTTTGTCATCCTTCACGAATCCTTGTATTCTTCGATAGATTTTGCCGTAGTCTTTTTGTTGGCCTTAATTGGTTGTTGTTGGCCATTTAATTTCGATTGAGCTCGACAGTAGCATGTTAGTGATGGTGCTCGCATTAGCTCGGTAACTTGCGAACTGACGTTGAGCCGTTCTATTCCAAATGCTTCAGACAATTGACTTCTCCTCGCTTGACGTATGACTGTTATTTCATCTGACTATTTTTTTTTTAATACGTAAAAAAAGAGAACAAAGACCAATCATGCGGCGCTCACTAATTTCAAAAAGAGACTTAGCAAATCGGGGCTTAGATCTAAAAATCAGATTCTCAAATTCCGACACATCCCATTAATATTTGTATTATAATTATCTAAGTTGAACTTATTTTTGTTTTAAACTATTCTAGATTGTGGACTATCGAATGAGGAAATACGAATTGTTGGCGGTCGGCCAACTGGCATTAACCAGTACCCATGGATGGCTCGCATTGTTTACGATGGGAAATTTCATTGTGGAGGTTCATTACTTACCCAAGATTATGTTCTAACAGCTGCACATTGTGTTAAAAAGCTGCGAAAGTCGAAAATAAGAGTTATTTTTGGTGATCATGATCAACATATTACTTCGGAGTCGAAAGCAATTCAAAGGGCGATAACTGCTATAATTAAACACAGAAGCTTCAATCCCGATAGTTATAACAATGATATAGCGCTAATAAAACTGAGGAAGCCTATGACCTTTTCAAAAATCATAAAACCTGTATGCTTACCACGTTACAATTATGATCCTGCAGGTAAATTCACATTCATTTTTTTAAAGTACATATTTTGATGCAAAAATTTGGAAAACCTCATTCGAGGTAGAGCTGGATAATTTAATAATTCACAAATGGCATTTAGACAACGTTTTGTACGGAATATCATAAGTTACTATATTATATGTTGTCGAGGATAACTAACAAGAGCTCCAAAAAAGAGGTTCTCCGTTGAGTGCGAACCAGACTTATAGGGGTGTTAGATAAGTCGGTTAAGTGGGCATGCAAAGAGGGGGACAATACCGTGCTACGTGGTGTTGAGAATTTTGTGAATGGTGTTTAGAACCTGAGGGTATGCTGTCTTGTCCTGGTTTGTTGTGTTGATAAATGGAGGCCTTTAAGTTGGACTACTCAATTTCTTGATGTTCCCATGTGATGTTCGGCTTCCAGTAGAAGTTTGTTAAGATGATTCCTAGGGTATATTAACTAGGAGCATAGACGTTTTACTATGTAAGTGGTACTTAGGAAACATGAGTATGTTTCCCGATACTGTTCATCCTCGCAACCAAACATTGCAGCGTAATTAAGGACTGAGCGGCCTATTGACTTGTAAGTTGAGAGAAACGTTTATTTATCTATCTTTAGCACTGCTTGACTGTCCGTGTTAAAGATTTTTTGTCAGAGCCAGATCGATTTTGGTTAATGCCATATACTGGCTATTTAGGGTATTAAGTACGGTTGAAGAGTTTTGTAGCTTGCGGAAGCCAATTTATTTTCTGCTGGCAGCAGCAAAGCCTCAACTGGAAAAAGAAGAAATGTCGACCGATATGATTCGTCTTTAAGCCCGACCAATCAGCTGTTTGAAATTAAAAAATGTAAAGAGATTCGCAGAAACAAATGGGCAAATGGTCTGATGGGAGGATCACTATAGGTGTCCAAGTAATGTTAGATGATCTATGAAGGCTGCTCACACTTTTGGCGGAGATATCTTCATTCGGAAGGCCATTTCCATTTTTCTGCTGTCATTTGACGGTAACAGCTAGCGAGATGTGCGAAGTAGTGGCAAGTGCTACTATTTCCCATTCGAAATACAACTGTATTAGATTTTGAAAATAGAAACAAGGGGAACCCAAATTTTGAAACAAAGTAAAACAGAGCTTAAAATATTTGCTTATCTAAAGAAATATTTACTGATTTGGTCTGTCCCTTCGATGAAAATAAAATAAACTCTACAAAAAGTCATCATTAAAGCTATTTATTGCATGAGCGCGCCCTCTTTAGGCATGCAATGAGTCGGCACTAAGAGCTTTGGAGAGTGATTTTAAGAAGGTTATGGTTCCTGTATATTGGTAAGGGCGAATACCACATTCTCCGTGTATGACCACCTACAAAAAAAGCAATGTGCGTTTCACAATATGATTTTCTTAGGCCATCTTCAAGTATGTACGTATATACAGTGGCTCAATATTCTTATTAAAGCTTATTATCAAGTGCTTATAAGATTTTAAAATACAATATTTATTATAGTATTGGGAGGTATCAGAATTAGGCTCGAACGTTAGTTGCTTATCTCAAGAGTAAGAAAACCCTGTGTAAAAGAATAATTGGCAGGTATGCCTAAGTTCAGGGTTTGAAAGATAAACACAATATGTAAAACAAGGTGTATTCATGGAGAGATAACAGCAACAAATGCAGAAATTAAGACTACAACCATGATATACTTAAACTCTTTGTGAATTCGTTTATTAAAATATAATTTTAAATTTTCTAAATTAAAAATATATATTTAATATTATATTAACTTAAAACTCAAAACAAAATATTGCAAGCAACAAATAAAGAAAAGTGAAACACACTCATCAATAAATATTTTATTTTCTGACGCATATTGAAAATAAAATTATGTTTATACTGTTCTTATGGAAAAGTAAAACATACCAAACATTTTTTAAAGTTGCAATGTCCTTAAGCTTAATTGGCGAAATCTTTATTTAATGATAAGCGTTGTTGCAGCTTACTTGTGATCTATTTTTTCAAAGATAATGGAGATCCATGACTACATTTTTTAAATATAAACAAATGTGTAAACAAAAAATACCTATTGTCAAGTTAGACACTTTACACTAGTGTCTCGATACTATATAGCTATTCTAAAAATTATGCTCTTGATGCAAAACTGTGTGTTTAACAGGCCTATTCTGTCGAGATAACAAAATGTACCTAGGTTTTAAAATCTACAATTCAGTAAATTTTGTTACCATTTCGTATTCTGAGTTCACTGTTACCCTGTAAATTTTGTTACCAGCGAAAGAGGAGATTTTCGGTTCTTAGTTTGAGGAAAAATAAAAACCAAAATGGGTAGGCATATTATAGGCCTGGAATTCATTTAAGATGAAGAAAAAAGTGTAAAAAGGCGAATGCTAAGAAGTTGCGAGAAAAAAATGGCCCTTTTAATTTGTAAGATATCATTTTCATACAGCTTTTTTTTTTGTTGTCCAGGCATATTTTCCAAAATTAGGTTCAAATATATATGATTTAATTAACAAATAAATAAAACTTTTTAATTTTTTTGTACACCGTCTTATATTTCGATGTGAATATTTTTCTTTTTACTTTATCAACTGGCAAATGTAATTTGACATGGACGAAAAAAGCAGTGCTGCCAAATTTTTCTCAAACATTGTAACCTGTTCTGCAGAATACCAAATTCAAATTCGGGTGTTAAAGAAAAGTAACAAAATTTACTTTACCGGTAACAGTCAGAATAGGAGTTGAAACTGCTTATAGAGAACGTCAAATAACGAGAAGTACCGATTGCGGACAGCATAGCATGTGAACTGCCAGAATCGACAAAAAAATAGGAGTCTGTTTCACCAATGCCGCCAGAAGTTGACTCGGTTTGTCAAGATAAGATAATAAATTAATAAAATAATTGTCTCTCGAATATCATTCTTCTGTAAATAATTCGCCAGTCTCTGGTAGTTGTTAACTAGCGGCTGTCAAATAGTCTCTTCCAAATATCGTATAGAGGTGAAATAGCCTCTTAGCAATTTCGTAGGTGGTACAAAAGGCAATCGGCATGCACCGGTCCTTCCAGAGAAAGTAAATACGTATTTACGTTCTCTGCCTTCTCCTACGTTCTCTGCCTTCTCCTACGTTCTCTGTCTTCTCCTTCCAGAGAAAGTAAATACGTATTTACGTAAATACGTATTTACGTTCTCTGGTCCTTCTCTTAAATATACGTTCTCTGCTGTTAATTGAAAAAACATTTCGAATGATCGGAACGTTTATGTTTACGTAAAGCAAATACAAATTTTTAAGTAATATCAAAGTATTTTCTCAATTTTATTGCAAAGAAACAAGTTATTCGTATTAAATATACGAGTATATTTGTACAAAAATTATAGCTAGTAATTATGCCGCGAAGTTAGAAGGGTTTTAAAAGTGTGAATTGGTAAGTATTTATATTTTCCAGCCAAGTTTTTTACATTTCTAATAAATATGTTTTTTTTCTAGATCATTTGGAAACAGAAATTTGAAGGCTAGAAGGAGAAAGTTTTTAGTGAAAATCCATAAAATTTTAAATATTTGAAAGTGCCTAGTAACTAAAGAGAAATATTTTGGAATTCGTGAAGCGGCACAACTTCCAAAGTAAGAACTTTGTTATGCAATGCTGTACCTGATTGACGAAATGTGTCAAACCAACTGAATCACTTTTGGTAAGTGTAAAAGCCTAAGCTTAATATTAAGACAACATATTCATAATTTAATTTTTAACAACAACAACAACAGATTGCCGAAGGAAGTCATTTTGACTGCTTTCCAATTTAAATCAGAAAAATAATTGTGTATATAAAGACAAAGTTTCTTAGAATTTTGTGACCTTTTGTACAACATATAAATGCCTCCACCCCTCTTTCCGGCATATATATGTGTTATAACTGTATTGTCGAAAAGCAGTTATTTTGACTGCTTGAGAAATTTGAAACAATCAAATGACTTTTATTATTGGGTTGAGTAAATTTCTTATATAACCGGATCGGCTCCGAATTCGCATAACAGTTTATATATTTTTTGATTACCGTCACTCGTACGTGACTTGTTATTCGAATCTTTGTTTCAAGCCTGCTCACGCATCTCATTCCTCTTGAACGTGAGTTAAGTTTACTTTTCTTTTCCCCGACTCTGATCTAAACATCAGCATCAATAATCATAATGATCCAAAGAGTGTGTCAAAAACGCTGTCAAACATTTTGTCTCTCCCTCTCTCTCTCTCTCTCTCTCATCACAATAAATATACGCTATTATCGTATACGGTTATAACTGCCATTCAATTCAACAATTACGTTGCCAACGATTTCTCTACCTCTAAATACTGATGATTTTGACTTTGGACCGACCTGCTTTATGGAGTGACAGTCGGTCTAACACGTTGTTCAGTTTATTTCTTTTGAGCCCTAAGTTCATGAAAAAAATGTCGAAGTGAAGAGAGTTATTGGAGAAGCTAAAGAACATAGGTGCAGAGTGTTCCGATATGGAATCAGATGCAACCAATTGGGAACCATCATCTGAAAATGAATCGGATTATGTTCAAAGTGAGACATCTGATGCTGAAGATAGCGGTGGTGTGCCTAGGAGAAGGTGTAGGATGCTGATGAACAAACTGGAAACACCGTTCAGGAAACCGAACCAGCTGTCGATGGTACTGTGTGGAGAAGAATTGCCGAAAGTGGTATTCCTGGAAGGTCGCCATCTACTTCTGTTTTCAAGGGTGTGAAAGGGCCAGCATGCTACGCAAAAACGAACATAATAGCAGATAATCTTGTCAGTGCATTCTCGTTGATAATAAATAACAGAAGAAGAGGGCAGCCGAATTGTGGGGTACGATTGGACAACGTCATTACCGGAAATACGTGCATTTATTGGAATTTTATACGCTCGTGGGGCCTACGGGGCAAAAAATTTAAAACTATGCCCAGAGACACGTTCAAGCAAATTCGACGATATATTCGGTTTGATAAAAGAACCGAAAGAAGTAG